ACTATCCTCAGTTCCTTTCATTCTTTTTATTCTATTCTGCTCTTCAGAATTTATTTCCACCATTTTATCTTCCATCCTATGGATTTGTTCTTCTCCTTCATATATTCTGCTATTGCTTCCTTCTAGAGTATTTTTAATTTCAGTAATAGTGTTGTTTGTCTCTGTATGTTTATTCTTTAATTTTTCTAGTTCTTTGTTAATTGATTCTTGCAGTTCCTCCATTCTGTTTTCAAGGTTTTTTTAATCATCTTTACTATCATTATTCTGAATTCCTTTTCAGGTAGTTTGCCTATTTCCTCTTCATTTATTTGGAGTTCTGTGTTTCTAGTTTGTTCCTTCATTTGTGTAGTATTGCTCGCCTTTCCATTATATATTTTTTTAAGTTATTGTGTTTGTGGTCAACTTTTCTCAGTCTTCAAAGTTGAATTCTTTCTTTCTTTTGGTTTTTGCCCTCCTGAGGTTGGTCCAGTTGTTTGTGTAAGCTTTGTATATGGTGAGATTTGTGCTAAGGTTTTTTGTTTGTTTGTTTTTGTTTTTCCTCTGATGGACAAGACTGAGTGAGGTGGTAGTCCTGTCTGCTTATGATTGGGTTTGTATTTTTGTTTTTCTTGTTGTTTAGATAAGGTGTTCTGCAAAGGGTGCTACTGGTGGTTGTGTGATGCCCAGTCTTGTATTCACGTGGCTTCCTTTGTGCGAGTTCTCACTATCTGATGCTCCCTAGGGTTAGTTCTCTGGTCGTCTAGGGCCTTGGAGTCAGTGCTCCCACTCCAAAGACTCAGAGCTTGATCTCTGATCAGGAACAAAGATTCCACATGTGGTTTGTTATGACATTAAGTGAGAATAAAACAAATACCCAAAAATGAGAAACCAAAGAGGAACCTCAGACAAATGGCAGTTAAAAATCAGGCAAATAATAATTAAAATAATGGAATATACAAATATACATTTACACTCTTGAGTGAAGTCCAAACAGCCCAACAAAAATAAAGTACAGTATACTGATTCAGCAAACAAAGGAAATCAAAAATATTTACCAGTTAAGAACAAAACTAAGTAAAGCATAAATTGAAAAACAAAACTAAAGCAAGGTGCCAAGTGGGGAATAAAGCAATGAAAATGAAAACAAAACTAACAAGTATGTTGAGAGAAAAGGAAAGAAAGTGAAGATAAAAGAATAGACACACAAAGTTAAATAGATGTAGGTAAAGAAGATTTGTATACTTTAAAGATTAACTACAAGGGGAAAATAACTGTACAGAAAGAAAACCAAAGGATAAATGTAGAAAAAGCAATAATAGGTTTTAAAAAATTAAGAGGTAAAATTTAAAAAAGAAAAGATAAAAGAAAAAAACAATAAAGAACAGTTCCACAGAACTGCAAAACCCCAACTTAGAGGCAAAGGTTGATAACAACAATAAAAAATGAGACTGGGGGAAAATAAAAACTCAGAAATTTAGATTTCATAATGCCAATAAAATCAACAGCTAAAACAGAGGGGTAAGAAAAAGAAAAAAAAATTCACTGGAATCTACAGAGCAAGTCAAAACACAAGGATAATAAATGTTGTTCTTGAGTCACTGCTGTCAGAGTCCTCTCCCTCACTGGGAGTCACAATCCAGCTCACTTCCCTAGGATGCCCTCTAACACTGTGTTGATCTCTTTACCTGCTGTGCGTGCAGCTCAGATTCTCATCTGGTCCTATTCCTGTGTGTTCCTGCCTCCAATGTACACAGCTATCAGAACTAGTGTGTTTTCTTTTGTGGGAGCCCTCAGTGTCCTTTTATATTTTCCTTGGACACGGAGTCTGCCTAGTTGATCATGTGGATTTAATCTGGGGTTTGTACAGCCAGTGGGAAGGTTTTGGGTCTTCTTCCTTAGCCACACTACTGCCTCTGGGTTTCAACTGTGGTCTGTTTCCAGCTCTGCATATGGGTTATCCGCTGGGGTCTGCTCCTGAGGCTGTGCTGGAGGACTTGGGTGAGGGTCAGGTGTGGAGGTGGTGCAGCTGCTTTGGTTGCAGGGGTTCTGACAGCACCAGGTTGGCAGCTAGGGGAGTTGGCAGCTAGGGCACCAGGAAGCATAGTGCTCTAGAAGGGTATGGCAACCAGTATTGGCCAATACACTCCAGTATTCTTGCCTGGAGAACCCCCCTGACAGAGAAGCCTGGCAGGCCTCAAGGAACAGGGTTGCAAAGAGTTGGACACGACTGAAGCAACCCCATGTGCATAGACGCAAGATATTTTTTTCTTGCCTGTGGCAGCTCTGCTCCAGTGAGTGTTGACCATGAAGGTGGTGTAGCTGCTTGGCTTGTGGGAACCCTGATGGTGCCAAGTGTGCAGGCACGCTGACTGCTTCTGCTGCAAGAGTTATGGCCCTATCAGAGTCTTTTTTTGAGCCTCTTGTGTCTAGTGATCAGAAGGCCTCTTTGGCCAGTCTTTCTCTATATCTCTGCCCGTTTAGGCACTTAGAGGTCTCCCTTTCCTGGGGTCCTTCTCTGCTGTTTGGCACATCAGGCACATAGAGGGGCCCCCCTCACTGAGGTCCTACTCTCTAGATCTGCACTTCAGGCATATAAAGGGGCCCCTGGGTGGGGTCCTACTCTGTAGTTCAGTGCAGTCATGTGTTTGATGGGCCAGCCTCTCTATTGTTCAGCTGCCAATGCTGGCGTGTGGGGAAAGAGAGGCTATGGTGATGGCACTACTCCTCCGCATGACTCAGCAGTATCGCCTTGCTCCCATGGCTGCCTGGCTTTCCTCCACAGACATTTCCCACCACAGTCTCCTCCCTGACATCCCCTTGCTCTGTCTCTTCACAGCTAACAGCAACCCTCACCCTGGGATTACTCCACAATCCCTTAACTCCAACTCCCAGCAACTGCACCATCTAGGGGACTCGCTTGCCTATCTGGGGTTTGTATGGCTGTGGCAAGAACTCTCGGATTCTCATTCCATTTAGGCTGCCACAGATCAGCTGTTTCACCCTCAGCCTTAAATGTTTCTCCTCTGATTCAGACAATTGCCCCAATGTGGGGGTTGGACCCCTGCTTCAGTTCCCCCATACACTGAGGGCAGGTCCAGTCCTACTTACACTGTTTTTCCCCCTGGTTCCTTCATCCTACTGAGTTTTCCATGATTCTATATATTCTTTTCCACTGGTCAGGTCCTCCTGTCTGCTCTCAGCTGGTGTTCTGCATTCACTTCTGTGTCTGAAGGTGTATTCCTTACGTATCCATGGAGAGAGATGTCCTCCATGTCCACCTACTCCTCGGCCATCTTGTTCTTGACAGCTATATGTTTACTTAGCCTTTGTTTGTTGTGTCATCATCTGTTTCTATATTAAGTCATAGGAGAGAAGCTAAAGAAACTGTACTGAAACTAAATTTAAAATTCTGTTACATGATAATTGTGTGACTGTGTGTAAGTCACTTCACTCCTAAATATCTACTTACTTTTAAAACTTGAATTACCTATAGAACCAAATATAGTTTCTATAACATTGTGATTGTTCAAGGAATGTTAAATTCCATTATTAGTGGTTTTATTACCTCATGTTTCATAATTTTTTTATGATTCTTTTGTCATATGGAAATGGGGGGTACTTTTCCCCATCTGTACCCTATATAAGGAATCAATTTTTCTTACTAGTTGTGTCTTACACCTATTTACATGTAAAACCTATATACTTATTTTTGTTCCACAGTTTTTGAATACATTCATGTTATATATTTTTGTTTACTCAGTTAAGAAATAAGACAGTTTCTATTCTAATTTTGAAAATGCTACTTCCCCAATATAATATTAATGTCAATGTATAATATTATTATTGCATGTGTTCTTTTTCTTGATTCTTGTTGAATTACTTGTTCATAGGCCACTCTGGCTTCCCATGTGGCTCAGTGGTAAAGAATCCACCTGCCAGTACAGGAGATACAGGAGATGCAGGTTAGATCCCTGGGTCAGAATATCCCCTAAAGAAGGGAATAGCAATCTGCTCCAGTATTCTTGCCTGGAAAATCCCATGGACAGAGGAGGTAGGTGGGCTGTAGTTCCTGAGGTCACAAAAAGCTTTGGACACACTGAGTGATGGAGCACAGCACACAGCATGGCACATACCACTTCTACTAATGTATAGATCTACCATATTATGTTCGTGCTTTCATTTTCACAGGTTCATTGAATATTTTGCTAAAACTACTGGTAAAGAAAAGTCTGAGGGCATATGTACTTTTTATTTAATGAATACATAAACATTTTGCTTAATATTTATATGTTCTGTTTCACTAGCTGTAAAAACTAGTTTTAATAAAGTATTCCTCTTCCCTCCACTGCTCATTCTTACTTTCAGACTTTGTCACTTCAAGCCAAACCGTGAGGGCTTGATCTTATCCTGACACGGGTCAAGAAAAAACAAACAAGAAAACTACAAAAAAAGTTGCCTTTGCATCTTTTCCTCAAACTCTACCTTTGTTAGTTTGGAATAACATTTTCTCTGGTAGAAAAATTTGAGTTTTTGTCCTGTTTAAAACACAGCTATCTTTTCAGATAGATGGATTTCTCCAGTTACCTCCTTTATATACACTGTTCTTCATCCCAAATTATTATTCCCATTTCCTGAGCTATAGAAAGGGAATAATTAGTAGCTACTTCTTATCATAGCTACAAGAATTCAAGGAGTTAATACTTAAAAAGTTATGAAGTATGGCTCATAATATGTGTATGTGGGTGTTATTATATTAATATTAGTGAATTTTTTCCAACCTCATGTGCTTTTTTCATGTAAATTATTTTACTTATGCAGTTGTTTACATTTGTATGTGATTATATCTATGCACATATGAAATATTTATTATTGTCTCTTTTGTTTCTAAAATGAGTGAAATACTTTGTAAATCTATACATAGAATATCATCTTCCCCTGACATTGTACTATTTCAATCATCTGCAGAGAGATGAAGTTTTGTTTTCTCCTACTCAAGCCTCTACATCTCTGAAGAGCAAATTTCATAATCTGTTTCTGAAAGTTCTAATTACCCTTTCTCTTATCTGCTTGGTTCTCACCCCATAAATAACAGGATTTAGAGCAGGTGGGATGACAACATAAAAGTTAGCAAGAAGAATGTGGATGTATTGAGGAACATTTCGGCCAAAACGATGGGTCATGAAGGAGAAGAAAGCTGGAGTATAGAAGGCCAGTATGACACAGACATGGGAGCCACATGTGCTGAGTGCCTTTAACCGGGCACTCCTAGAAGGTAGGCAGAAGACAGCACGCAGGATATGGACATAGGAGACGACAATGGCTATGATGTCAAACACCAAGATAGAGATAGCACATAAGCCATAGATGATGTTGACCTTTATGCTGGCATAGGACAAGTGGGCTATACCCATGTGTTCACAATATGTGTGGTGGATGATTTGGTGCCCACAGAAGGGCAACCTCAGGATGAGCAGAACAAAGGGGATCGCAATAGCTAAGGGTCTCAGAAGGATGACCAATGCTATCACTAACACCGCCTTGTTTGTCAGTACCAATGTGTAGTGAAGAGGGTTACAGATGGCCACATAGCGATCATAGGCCATGGCCACAAGCACAGCCGACTCCATACCGGTGCATAGGTGGATGAAGAACATCTGGACAAGGCAGCCCTCAAAGGAGATTTCTCTCAGGTTGAACCAGAAGATACCAAGCATCTTGGGGTTGGTGGATGTGGACAGGCCCAGGTCAATAGATGACAGAATGGCCAGGAAGTAGAACATGGGTTGATGGAGACTGTGTTCAGTCTGAATCACATAAAGAGTTGTAATATTTCCCAGTAGAGCAGTCATATATACAATACAAAATGGAAAACCAATCCACATATGCACATCTTCTAGCCCTGGAATTCCCAGTAGGAGAAAAAAGTAGGGGTGGAACTGTGTGTCATTAGGAGGGACCGTGCTTCTCTGGCACTGTGACAGATGCATATTTCGTACCGATGTCTCATTCATTGAGAGGCTCCAGCACTTCTTGTCCAGTTATATGGATTTCCTACAGAATTATACAAAAATATGTGTGGTCTTTTCTAGTCACCAAGCCCATCATGACATAATTGTGTGACCTTTATGAAAACTAAAATGCATCATTCTTGTTTAATTTTTATGTAGCTTATCAGACATTACATTTATTTTCATTAATCTCTTCAATAATTTTAATGATTAATTTTATACTTTTATATTTTATTATTAATTTAATAATTCAATTTAATTTAATGAAACTTTTATCAAAGATCAATAGCTTATCAGGCAAATGGCCAGATATTTCATGTGCAGAGATAAATTAAGCATCGTTACTCCTCTTAAGGAAGTTCAATTATAGCTTAAGAGTTAAAACAATAATAAAATGGTTTCTTTGGGATTGTAACAGGTACATTTTCCTTTTATCCTAGGCAATTACCATCTCATAGTTTATTGCCACAACCTGTGAAAATAGAACTTGCACAAAATCTTTTTAGAAGTAGCAAACCCAGTAGAGAAAGCCACTCAATCAACTCCTATGTCTCTTTCATCAGAAACACCACCATTGTAGTTTGGGTAGACTGTACTGAATGTAGGAAATGCAGACTCATGGTGTATATAGCTGATAGAGTTGACTTGGCCTCACCATTAGATTTTATAATTGATTGTTGAAAATAGCAGAAGAGATAATGATGAAAATTGTAAGATCTTGGTTCCCAGCAGCATGCAGCTTCTTAAGTACTTATTCAAGGTGATATTTAAGACATATTCCTGAAAACATAATAGTAGAGCATATGAAATGAAATTGGAAAGAGAGTCAAGGTGGTGGAATTTTTAATATAGGAGAGGGAAGTTTCAGTATTAAAGTATCATAGTTGAGAAGAGCATAGCATTTGGATTTTGTGGATCCCACAGAAGTCTGGATCACTATTTTCTTCATCCTTTTCCCTCTTGTTTCATGCCTACACTTTATCTCATTTCTCTATGTCAGATTGTGACTACCCTTCAAAAAATCTGCCACATTTCTTTAGTGTACAATGTTACCTTCTTGTCATGTATTCTAGCAAATATTTACTTAGTACTGTGCTTAGAAATTGAAAAGAGGAGATTTCGAAGCTGTATCAGTTGCTTACATTGGGCAGCACTCTGCCAGGCAGTTAATGCACAATATTTGAACTGCTCCTTAAAGCTGTCAGAGATTAAGGTAGTCAGGAAGTAGGCCAAAGGAGCCAGCGAGAGAAACCCTGCCCCTGATAAGTTCTGAGTTCAAGGAGCTGGCAGCAAAGGCGTCCGGACCTCCAGGGGTTTCTCGGGACCGCCCCACCATCCACTCCCAGGCCTTTGTCCTTTCATCTTCTGATGCTTGGCGTTCTTCTATGTTCCCTAAAACCTAGTCTGACTCTTACCTAAAATCCCTCCTTGAAACCTTTGCATGGCAGAAACACAGTCCCTAGGGGCACATGGGTCCCGATAAACAGGCCAGAGGTAAGGAAAATATTACACAGAATATCCTGCCTCTTCTGGCTCTGTTGGAATTATGATTGCCAATTTAGAATCTGGAATGCTCATAATTGCACAAAAACCCTTCTAGCACAAAACCAAATCTGCTAGCAACAGGCCTATCTATCCCATAATCAAAAGTAGATAAAGAGTCCATTACAGATTGAAAAGATTCCTTAGGGTGTGATCAGGAGGGAATTCTTGAGACCTCTGATCCTTAGGATTACATACCAGAGCTTGCTGTCATACCTCCCTGCCCCCTGTCCATAATGTACCTGGGGGCATACTAGAAACAGACACAGAGATAAGAGTAAATAACAAAAGAAGTATACAAATGGATTTAGATGGATAACAAAATAAACATAATGTAAATTTTACCTTTGCCGATGTAGGGGGGAGAGGTCAAAAGTCAAATATCATGCTACCTATGAAGCCACAAAGTCCACCTGGGGCTGAGCTTCCCAAGATAAGGTTTGTAGATGGCTTTTCACAGTTGACTAGCTGCTGCCATTGAATTGTTTAAAAGTTATGTGTCGGTATTGACTGTTCTGGAAAGTTATTTATGATGTAACCCGTGATTATGCACCTGGTACAATCTTATCATTCCCCCCTCCTTAAACCTCTTTAAAAGATTATTGGTTTTAGGGTATATAAGCACTGATGTAAAGGAATAAAGTAGTCTTGATTCTGCACTCAACCAAGACTTGACTCGCTTCCTTTTCTTCGCTGATGCCTCTCATCCAAAGGGAACCTCTGGACTCTGCCGGGGCTGGACCCCGGCAGGCCAAAGCTCTCTGTTTCCTATAAATACACTGAAAGAGGGATGACACAGTAGTGGCTTCTCATCCTGACTTTACAGCCTGTGGAGAACTCCATAAAAATACAAGTTTTAAGTCCAAACTCTGGAAGTTTTGAATCATTAGGTATGGTATAGCACCTCATGATTTCAGTGAAGCTCCTCAAGTTATTCTGATTCAATGTTTTTGTCATTTGAAACTGCTGCAAAATAACATAATGTACATAAGCATTTATGAGTTAGAATGTGTTAATAATATGTGTGCATTTAGTAAAATGGTATGCAATTCAATATCTCATAACCCTGACTTTATATTCCCTTTACCCTTCTTTGAATTCTCAAAACAAAATATAGTCACTGATTCCACCCAGAAGTATGATACTTACAGGTTTTGTAGTGCTTCATCCTTTTCCTCAACTGGAGTTACTTATGGGAAATCTTTTGCTTTATTACATGTACATCTTCTAAGCACTTAAAAGCATGCACTGGCCCCTTCCTAAAGAAGTACGTGAAGGTAGAATGAGTGTATACTTAGTTGCTCAGTCGTGTCCAACTCTTTGCAAGCCCATGGACTAGCCCCCCAGGCTCCTCTGTCGATGGGGATTCTCCAGGCAAGAATACTGGAGTGGGTAGCCTACCCCTTCTCTAGGGGATCTTCCCGACCCAGGAATTAAACTAGGGTCTCCTGTATTGCAGGAGGAATTTTTTTACAGCTGAGCTACCAGGTTACATGGTAAATATAATCATCAGCTATTTCCCTATGGCCGTGCTCCTCTGTTAAAAAAGAACAGATAAGAAAAAAACATAAATAGACTTGTGTAGATGAGACATTTTCTGTTGTTTGAAGACTCTTGAAGTTCAGAAATTCTTGGAGCCCTACTTGTTCTCCAACTCTCAGGCAGAAACTTCCATGAATTTTGCAGTTATTGTGCAAAACTACCAACTGATATGTGGATTTTGTTTGTTTGTTTACTCTGTTTATAGGAGGAATGGTAATTTAGTTCAAAACTTTTCAGTTAACTAGACTGTGATTGTCTTGTCTTTTTATCTTGAGAACTGAATGGAGGCTAGAGGAATATACAAAGTTAAGTTCTGCAAAATAATTGCAGAATGCTAAGAGAAAGCAAGGGAGACAGTATTGAAGGTGAAGATGCAACCACAACAGCAAAGGAAAAAGTGACACAAATGACAAAGACTTAGAGAAAGACAATACCGGAAATTGTGAAGGCATTTGCATATGCACACATGCATCACTTATCCAAATATTTCAGAATGATGTTTTAATCAAATCTTTGTTGGAGTACAGCTCCAAATCTATGTAAATTATCATCTTGTTACATTTTGGGTGATACCTTCTATATACAGTTAGCTTTCCTTTTTTCTACATTTCTGTCATCTATTTTGGCTCATCTTAAATCTCAGTGAAGTGACCATAATAAAATGGTTCCTGTCTTAGAGCATCCTTTCTGGCCCAAGGCCAGACTTACCAGCAAAGCTTTCTGAATTAACTAGTTCAGCTGTTCCAGAATGTTTCCATTTCACGCACTCTGACTGCAATGGTAGATTTATAGTGTAAACAATGCCTTTAAAATGGAGTGTCTCCAAACATTAGTGTTCTCTGGAGAACAGAAGTGTCCAGAGGTACAGAGCTAGATGCTTCATAAATATGAAGTCTAGCATCATTGATGATTTAAAAAAAAAAAAAAAAGTCCTGTATCTGGATGCTGATTCCCAAGCTTGAGGTGACTACTGATGAATTGTCTTATCTCTAAGTAGGAGACACTTTGAGGAAGGCTCACTTTCCACTTATTTGCCTCTCACACCCCAATGCTAAGCACAATTCAACCTTAAATATGATCTCAAAAAACTGAAGCTCAGCTAGTAGCCATCACTTCATGAGGTATATGTTAGAACTTAAATGGGAATGATAATATAATAAAACAATGACCAGTTGTTTCAAACACAAATACTTTCTTCTTTATTATTCTTAATAACAGTAAATAAGATAGGGTTAAATTTAATGATAGAAAGGCAGAGGTCTAAGGAAAGTAATATGTTATATAGGAAATTAGCTAAATGGATGGACTTTGAGACAGATTGTATGGATTTGAATCTCATCTCCCTTACTCAATAGACATAAGAGTTTACGTAAGAATTTTAAACTCTGTGTCTCCATTTTCTTCTCTATAATGAGCAGAATAATACCAAATGCAAATATTGCTGTGAAGACTAAAAGAGCTGATTCTTGTGTGACACTTAAAACATTTCCTGATATATAGTAAGAAGTTTGTAACTATGTGTTGAGCTACTTAGTTAATACTTAATATTCTCAGGCTGTGATATTCTGTGGAAGCTCATACTGATTGAAGTTGCCATGAAGATGTCTCCTAGAATTCAAACTTGGAATTATAGGGGAGTCAATAAATGTCATCATATTCCTTGCCTAGACTTATTGCCAATGATGAAAAAATCACTGGGTCAAACAAATGGCTTTTAGAACATCAGAATTAATTCTGAGTCAAAGCTGCATGCCCTTTCTTGCCTTAGTTATGCATCTAAGCTGGGAAAGTAGGCTGTCTAACAAATCTTTGTCCCTACTTCCTTGTGTGCATGCCCAGTTACTCAGTCATGTCAGACTCTTTGCAACACCACAGACTGTAGCCCTCCAGACTCT